ACCCGGGTCATTCTATGATTCTATGACACCATAATATGGAGAACAGTAAGATGACGAGGTCTTTTCTAAAAACGTAGACTAATCCCATTCAGTCTTAATGCTTGCTTTCACTGTTACAAGCCATACTCTTTCATTTTGGGAATATGTACGTAGGTATTGTATCTAAAAGAAGGATTGTGTTTATCATACACCTGAATTTTCCATGAGTAAGAATAGTCTTAGAAATACATTGGAACCTTATTTTAAGCCTGCATGACCTGGAGTAGATCGCTTAATTTGTATTCATTTTCCTCACCCTCAAAATGGAGATAATACTCATTTAATCAGAGGTGTAAGGTTAAAATATTAATGCATCATAGACGGGTTAGGTTTTCTAAATACAGGGTTTTGCTTAATTGCTTATATAGAATTCAGAAACCTCTAGTTTGAGTCTGACTGTCTTCTGTCACAGTACCTACAGATGAAGAGGATGAAATGGAAGAAGCAGCTAACAGACCACGGAAGAAACAGAAAACTGAACAGTTGGGACTAACAAGGGTAAGATGAGCTCCAGAGTTGTCCAGAATTTAATTTTAAAAGTGTGGCAGCACAAAATAATTTCTCTTTGTTAAAAGTGACTATATGAAAACTGGTGATACATCTTAGGCTGATCAGACATATATTTTTATTTGATGAAAGAATGTATTTGTCAACAATATTACATCTAATCCTCTCTCACCTTTAAACTCTAGACTCCCCTGGCAACCCTCTCTGGCCACACAGAAGCCGTCTCCTCTGTGCTGTGGTTAGATGCTGAAGAAATCTGCAGTGCGTCATGGGACCACACCATTAAGCTCTGGGACGCGGAGACTGGAGATCTCAAATCAACTTTGGTGAGATCACTATACTTTGTCTGTAGGTTCAGCTACAGTCCAGCTCAAGTAAAAAAGTTGTGCAAAAATAGTTTCTTTTTTGACAGACAGGAAACAAAGTGTTTAATTCTGTCACCTACTCACCACTGTGTCGACGCCTCGCATCCGGGAGCACTGACAGACATATTAGACTATGGGATCCTCGCAGCAAAGGTGAGCTGAAAACATGCAAGTTCTCAAAGTTGTGTTTTTTTTAAATCCAAACTTCTCACTGTTGGGAAACATCTCACAAACTGTTTTCTGATTCCTCTGCTTGAAACAAGCCATTTGGGGGCTTTTATTAAATACAAAGGTTACATCTGTTTTCGGTAATCTGCTGCGGGACTTCTTTTGATTTCTCACCTAATAATTCAGAAAACTAACTCAGCATAGCTTTTCCCTTTTTTTTTTTTCTTTTAAACTTACTAATCAATATTCAGCTGTGCAGTTGCAGGCCTGAACATGTTTTTGTTTTTATAAGGTTCACACCTAAGTTGGTCAGACCATAATTAAAGTGAAATAGTTGTCACTTTGTTAAATATAGTGGTGCCATGTTCGACAGGATTGTGGGGAATTTATTACTGAGCCTGCCAGATTTATTTTGTAGACATGTTTACTTGTTTAGCTTCTATAGTACTGTTAAACTCTGGATTAGATTTATCTTTTCTATGTTAATAATAAAAGCAAATTTTTTTGCTTGCTTTTTCCAAAATATTTGAAAAGAGTTTAGTGACAAGAAAATACATTTGGATAATTTTGATTTTCTTTTTCCTTCCAGAACTTGCATACCTCATATTTTTATTTGCTTTCTTTAAAGTTCACTTTGATTTTTGAAGTTAGAATTACTGGTGGAAGAAACACTTACCTTCAACACATAGGTTGATGACTGCTTTTCTCTCTGGATTTTTTGTGCGTCTTAAGAGTGCCCAGTTCAGTGGACATCTACTGATGTCTTTTTTCTCTTTTTCTGTTCAGATGGCTCCTTGGTTCTCCTGTCTCTGACATCTCACACAGGCTGGGTGACATCTGTGAAGTGGTCACCTACCCATGAGCATCAGCTGATCTCCGGTTCTCTGGACAATATTGTGAAGCTGTGGGACACAAGAAGGTAAAATAAACATTCTTTCTTCGCTGTTCAGAGGCATGTAGACTTACAGGGTCAGTTAACCTAATGAAGTAGCAAAAGCAGTCTGAGACATTAATTGGAAACTCCTGTGGCGTGTGTGAAAATCCTCTAGGATTTAGGAGTCAGGCATATATAAAGAAAGGGAGAAGAATACATGTAGTCTACCAGAGGACCCGTGGCTTTCCAACATGGGACGTACCTGGCATTAAGAACAGCATTGACTGAAATGCAGAAGGCAGCAACCATAACATTGCTACAGGGACTAGGAACAGCAGAAGGTCTGCTAACCATTCCTCTATTTTAAGGAGCAAAATACTTTCTCTTTCTAAGGAATGAGCCCAATAGCATGAAGTTTCACTTGATACTCTTTGCAGACCTTTCACTACAAATTTCCAAGCAAGGAAATTGTTTGCATTCATAAGACATAAATGGCTTTTCTAGAAAACACACAGTTAAGCAGCATCCACACTTGCAAGAACTAAACTATATAATAAAATGTTTCTAAAAAGTGAATTAATTAAATTTCAGTCTCAAGGTAGTTTGCAAGCAGGTGAAAAATGTTGCTATTTCTCTCTTTGGGGATGAAGGAGAGGTTAAAACTGATGTGATCAGTTCTAGATAAAGCAGATAAAACGTCACAGATGGTACATATCTGTGCTCTCTCAAACTGTTTATAACTGCTAGACCACATCTGTTTGATAGCATCTCGATAGTATTTCTTCCAGGGACCAATTTTGTTTTCTATGATTGCTCACGTAACTTCACACACGTGACTGTTAATACCTGTGTTTTGCTAGTTGCAAAGCTCCCCTGTATGACTTGGCTGCTCATGAAGACAAGGTTTTGTGTGTGGACTGGACAGAAGCTGGGGTAAGAATCTGAAGAGCAAGTTGCTCAATTTATATGCATGGTGGTTAGGAAGAGGGCTAAAAGTAGTCATGGACTTGTTTTTTTCCTTTATCCTTGAAGATAGACTAGAACAGGAAGTTTTAGTTGTGCTGTAGTTGATGTTGGGTAAAAGAGAAGGTGTTACTGTCATACGCACTGCAGCACTTCCCTATGCTACTGTGCAAAGGAGCAGGATGGAAGTTTAAGCTCTGTATCATTAAGTGGGCGTTACACTGATATTCCAAACAAGGAGAGACCCGAGAACAGCACCACACCTTGCTGAGAAAATATATGTTCCAAGGTACTATTTGCTGCCATGGAGACTAAAGCAGCAGCATGAACTGACAGCTGGGGCATGGCAGTACATGTAGAAGGGGACAACCATATAATCCTCTATAGCAAGCTGTAGTGGTACACACATGTATAAAATTGGGATTCTCAGTGTGGCTCCTGTTCTCAACAAAACACAGGAAAAGCTTTATGAAATTTTCCTGCGAAAACTTTGCTTCTAATTTTAGGAGGAGGCTAAGAGACAAGGCTGCTCCTGCACTTTGAGTCTGGGTTTTAGTCATGCGTTAACAGTTCATTAGTCATTACTTCTGTTTATGTCTTCAAAGGAAAGAAAATCAGAGTCCTTAAATTTTGTGTAGGTATTTTGCTTAGTTCTGATATTAATCACAGTTTTCTTTTCTTCTCACCAGTTGCTATTGAGTGGAGGTGCAGACAACAAACTGTATTGCTACAGATACCCAGCTACAGCCTCTGATATTGGAGCATGAAGGTCAACAAACTTTTTTCTTTTTTAAGATTTTTGCAGCAGTTGCTCTCTGTTAGCTCCCTACACAACCGACATTTGAAGAAAAGGAATTCTTTGTTGCTCAGAGAGCTACTATTTCTGATTTTTTGTATTAGTAACCTATATCCATCTTTGTCACAGAAAAATGGCAACAACCAGTTACAAATGTAATTAGTGTGAAACAAAGCAAAGGGCGTTTCTTCCCTGTTTGATGGCTTTGAATTAACATCATTTAAATGGCTATTTGTTTAGCCCTTTTAATATGGAGTAAGCTGTTCCTGATACTTAGAGAAAAATTACTCGCTGGACTAAGTTATTTTTGAGTTTACCTGTTTCCCCTTGACCAAAAAAAAAATAAAGCTTTTATCTACAATTCATTGGGTTAGTACCTCACTTGAGATAAACATCAGACTTCAACTTTCCTTTCAGTATGGCTCTCGGCCATTCTTAAGATGAACCCAGTCCTCTTTCTAGGATGAAGACGTAGTATGTTTGCAGTGCAAATGTGGGATATAAAGAAACTTGACAAATTTACTGGCAGATGAAATATTCCATTCTTTTGTTGCTCATAAGTTAGGGCTGTAAATTACTATATAAGAATGTGCCTGCCTTGTGCCACAGTACGTTATGTTGCAATACAACTAACATGGTTGTACTCCTGCAAAGCAGCAGATGTATAGAAACAAGTGGAGGATCACACAGAGAAGGCAGAAGAAAAAATACTTTGTTCCTAGAAAGAATGGATACAAAAAGTTGCAATAGCTGTTAGGTGGACAAAGGATAAGTACTATCCAAACATGCTAATTTTCTCTGCTGGTGGTCTTGCTTTTAATTCAACATTTAAATGAAAAAGCTATTAGTTTAGTTTGCTAGATGCCATATATGTGATGTTAAACCAGCATATAGTTTAACAATGTAGAAACCAGACTTGAATATCCTCACTAATGTCTTGGCTTTCAGTAAATTTCAGACCTGTACAGCACAATCAAGTCAAGTGCAAGGTTCATAATTTTTCTTTGAAAACTGTGACCATCAGGTTTACAATATGGACAAGTTCTGAGTGAGCAGTTTAGGAAATACCAGAACAGAACAACTATGGAGAAAATGGCAAGGATGCAGGGGAAGGATCTCTGATCCCTTGGCTCTGCAAGTAATGTACTGCAACTAATAGACTAACCTTTACAAATGCTGCTTAGAAGGGATTAATTGTTTTGCCATCATCTTATTAAGAATGTGTGCATGGATAATGTGTGCTTCCTTTCCAAAGCAATATACACTATTTATTCCTTAATATAGCAACTATTTATATTTTTTCTTATGAAACTTTATTCCTTTAAAACATTGCTTTCTATTTGCTCCACAAACTGAAACTTGCAAATATGGCATGTGTTCGTGACCTACTGAATAACTTATTTTGTTTTGTAAACCTACCAAAAAACACAAAAGCATTTTTGAGCAGCAATTTAGTATGTGCTGGAACATGCAGGATTCCTTCATCCCCACTATTACAAATTTGTATAATGTCACATGAACATTTGTGGATATGCCAGTCTATTCTAACAATCATTGGACTAATACTCATAAAAGTTTTTTTGAACTCTTAATAGTTTTTTAGTATTAAAACAGAAGAGAGTAATATCCTTTTGGGGTATTCCTTAATCCAGTATACCTGACTTCTGGAGGTCTTAACCAAGTAAAGTTTGGAGATGTTTTCAGTGGAAAGCAAGACAGTGAAGGAAGCTTGGAAACTAGTTTACTTCATTTCCCTCCAAGACTCCCAGTGACTATTTAATTTAAAGTCTTGAGCTGTTTTGTGTATTATAAGAAATATCCATTTCATTACTCTCTCTTCAGTTTTTTTTTCAGATAAATTATGCTTAAGCATAGCTTTTAGAGTTACTGTGGTGTTTTACAGTCAGATGGCTGTGGAAACACCTCCAGCCAAGTACTTGATAAAAATAAGTGGGTTGTCTTACATGCTTATGTCTAAAGACTCATGAATGCAAGGTAGGTAACCTTAATATAGTTTTCTTGTCTTCCCAGAAAAAATTAAAAAATACTTTTTAAAAAGGTCATGCCACTCTGTCAGCTTAGCTTAGAAACATTTAGACTTAAGAAGTCCCTGCTGTCATTGTTTCCGTTTCAAACATTAAATCCTTTAGATCTACTATATGTGCCACCTATAGTAAATACACAGTATAACTAGAAAAGGTAGGTTTTGCTAGACCACACCTCAGAAGCAGGAGGGTTTTTACACCCTCCTCTCACCTAGATGTTCTCTTATTAGGAAAAGTACTGTGTCATACACAGAAAGAACCAGCTAAGTAAACCACATTAACGTTATGAAGTGATACCAGCATAAATACAACATACTTTTGGAATGTCTCTCTACTACCAGTGATAAAAAGTATCCCAGAACATACACAGATGTTTTTTAGATCTGTCTGACTGACAGTTCTTTGGATAATCTGTAATCTCAATTAAAATACGTTAATGATAGTATTTGTTTTGCTCCAAACATGCAGTTCTTTCATTTAAAATTATGAGAAATTAGAATGGCCAGCAAAGTTTGATTTTAAAATTACAAAAGAACTGAATAAAAACTGAAGTTGTTTTTCCAGAACCAAGGTGCTGACAGTGATTCTACTCAAAAATACTATTTTTTTATCTTAAAAAAAAAAGTTTACATATTTGTAGTGCCTTGGTAGCATAATAAAACAGCAAAAACTGAACTACTAACAGCTAAAGTAAAATGATACAGCAAGTGAGGGGAATAAAGACAATACTCAAGTACTGCAAGCTTTACTCATTTTTTGCATCAATAGGTATGGGGGTGGGTGACTGGGTTTGTTTTGAGAGGTTGTGCAATTAATTCTTCTATTTCATCTTTTCATTCTGCACTGACACCTGGCATTAACCGTTAACTTTACTAGCCCACGTACGCTACCTCTAGATGCAGTTCAAACAACATCCCACATTAAGATGCACGTTAAGTCTTAGTTTAAGACAAAGGTTCACCTGCTTGGTCCTTCGTTTAGTGTCACTTGTATCTCCTGTTCATGCGTTTGCTTTTCCCCAGCTGGTTCTTTCAGCTTTCTTCTTGCTTTAAAACTTACATCTTTGCTTCTGGATGACTGCCATCACTCTCCTCCAGCCACCCCTGGCAGAGCACTGGTTTTTCTTTCTTACTGATTCTCAGCCTTCTCTCAACTAGGAGATTGAAAACAAGGGAAGGGGAAGGAAACTGTAAATGTTCCAGTAAAAGTGACACAAAACCTCATCAGCATGTGTGGATAATGCCATTCACCATGGTACCGCCCACAAGGTCATCAGCTTTTTCGTAGAACATGGAGACCCTCCACCTAGGAGGCACCTCAGCTCACCCACAGCGGTGTGGACAGCAGCCTCAACCCCCATGCTGGTCACAGCTTCAAGACCCCCAAACTTGCTTCAGATACCTCCTTCCTAGACAAATGCTTTGCTACCAGACCCTCTACTCTGATTGTGAGTTGCCGAGTGCGCCATATGCTCTGGAGGCATAGGCGAGAGGAGAAGACAGGCTGACAGGAGGCGGTGGGTTTCTTAGGCTGCATTTTTGATTAGTTTGGGGCAAGGATGCAGACCTCCAGCCAGCACTGCTCTTTCTGCTTCTTTCAACACACAGCACATAGCCTGGGGGTCATGTTTTTCCTTAAAGAAATTAAACTTCTATGAAATTTAAATGAATTTTGTATAGGCTGATAAATTTCCAGTATAAACTCAACATACTTCCCTAGATTTCAGCACATGTATGTTAGGAGATCTAGCTAGATATGCTTAAAATGACTTCTACAATTTAAACAAAAATATTACATAGAGCTATGTAGAAAAAGGAATACACTTTTGATGAAAACTCCTGAGATACAAGGTTTTCCCCTGCATTTTCCATGACATTTTCACAATAGAAAGCAGTTGATAGGTATATGCAGATACTTCCCACAGGAAAAATACACACTTACACTGCTAAGAGTATCTAATTCCTATTAATTATCAAGTTGTTACTTAAATGTGGATATAAGTTTAAGAATTTCAGAATTTTTAATGTTTTTCTCATCACAGAAAATTAATGGAGGCTACAAAGGTACTTCCAAGATTGTGTGGTTCTAAACATGTTTCTTAAAAAACACAAGTGATGGATCAGATTTGGGTAGATCTGTTCCATTACCTCACTGAAATTTCAGCACATGCTCCTTTCACCTGCGGTGGAAAGGGGAAAGGTTTTGTCAGATTAAATACTTAATGCAAACTAGGAGGTCAACACACTTGGATTTAATTTCTATTCTCCATCAGAATGGGGCTGCCGAGCCAGCCCTCACACACCTCAGTGCAGGGGTGAATACAGCTTATGGATTACCATGCTGCTTCATTTGACGCTATTATTTGCTTTATTGCATCTTTTTGTTTGGTTGTTTTTTTTTTTTAAAAAAGGTAGTCGCATTTAGTAGGATTAATTATTATTTACCTGCAAGTGTTTACTAAATATGCTTGGAGAGGGCATAATTGTGGCAGGTTGGCCTGCACGCTATCCCCGTTGCATCTCTGTATGATAGTTAAGCAGCTGCAGAAATGCCAAACCATCTCACTGGTTTAGCACAAACACCAGGTTAAGCTTCAGGTTTCCCTGCAGTTGACTCCTGCTTGGCCAACTCAGGTGAGAGAAGCACACAGATAAAGCGAGCTGCACTGACTACTTTCTTAGACAGCAACAAGTTATAGTAGCTTATGCTACAGTTTTTATGCCAAAAAAGCCCAATTGAGTTAGAATCACCAATTATGTTTGATGTAAACACACTGGCACAGATCTCAGATTAGGAGCAAAACTTGGGTTAAAATTAATTATCATTAAAACCAATTTAAATTGTCCCATAAATTACATGAAATTAGTGGCTTGTCAGCTGCTGAATCTGGTTTAGAAAAGACAGCTGCTCCATCTGGATGAGTCTACCAAGCCATCCAAATCAAGACATTTACTGTATGGAATGCTGAAAACGTAACTCAAACCACAGAAGTATAAATTTATTTCTGTACCAGTTACAATATTCATATTAAAAACCTCAAAATGTCAACTTTGCATATCTTTGCAGTTTATTCCATTGGGCAACTAGTAGCCTGTGACCAGCAGGGGATCAGTATGAGTTTAAATGCCTGTAAAACTAAACAAACATTGAAATAAATGTTCTCTGATTGCTCCTGAGACTTTCAGTTTAAGAAAGGGCATTTCTTTAAATGGTTGAAATAATCTCCGAATGCAAAGTAGAATTCACATAAAGCTGTGTGAAGAAATACAATATGCTAGTTTTTGTTATAGCAAAATGTCCCAGTAATCTAGATTGC